TGTGCGTGTGTGCGTGAGAGAGAGAGAGAGAGCCCTGCAGCATGCAGCATGTCAGTGGCGGGAAGCACAAGGGCAGGCGCTAACCTCCAAAAAAACAAAAAGAAGTAATTTTATTGGAATACAAGAGTTTTTTATTTTCGAAATCCGAATAGAAAGGATACACATTGTATTTGGATACAACGTGTACGTGTTTTATTCGAGGTGCTCTGCTATTCGAGAAAAGTGGACACGCGCCGTTTCAATTTCGAAAAAGGCTTGAGGCCCGCGGCCTCCTCGGCCACCTACCGGTCCTACGTGGTCCTGGCCCTTGCAAGGCCCCAAAAACTCAAAATGCCCACCCTCCCGACGACCACCACGTTGAAATTTGAGTGACTTTGAAATGTCTCAGGGGGAAACTCACCCCTGACGGGCTGCGAACACCTCCAAAGCCATATCGAAGAGGACAAGGATAGATCGTGGGATACGAGGATCGACCCTCTATTTAGCCAATATCGTAGTAGGGCAGGGTTCCGCCAACAATGTATTCATGAAACTACGCTCGGGAGACAGGTATGACAATAAGAATGGAAAATGAACAGGGAGTAACCACGGTCAAAGGGAAGAGGGGAAGCTGCCAATCTGTCGTAGGGACTAAGTAGTGTCGGAACCCAAAGGTAACCCTGCCCAGGCTCCAAGGCGAAGCTGCTCAAAGATCCACCATAGCGTTTTAGCATTGCAGTCCCGCAAGTAGATTCTTCCAAAGCCACAAAAAAAGAGGAAAAGGAGGGATAATGGGAGACAGCAGTCGGTCTTCAATACTTCCCTTACCGAAGTAGAGTAGGCGTCACCAAGAATGCATTGAGGTGACTACACTCGAGGGACAGGTATGATAACAGGAACTAAGAAGGAATAGGGAAATACCGCGGTTGAAGGAAGGAGAGGAAGCAAGTAATCAGACGCATGGACTAAGTTGTGTTGAACCCTTATGTAACTCCCGTATACGCTCCGAGGGAAGTCGTTCAAAGCTCCGACATGAGGCGCCAAGCTAAAATAGTCAGTACGCTTGGGTAGGTGGAGTGAATATGCATGTTCCCTGCTTGCCTAGTTGGAAGATTGAGGAGATCTGTTCGTGAACCCTGAGCGGGTGGAGAAGAGGCAAGCAGGGCAATAGAGTGGCTAACGATTGCGATAATGTTTCATGCAGAAAACAATCCTCATCCTACATATCCATCTGACTGTTCCAACATATTCCAAGTTCACATCATCGTAACCTCAATCCCGCACTACTTCAATCTCCTTCACTATGCATGATACTTCGGGTTACTAATAATCGAGTGTAATTTGATCTACTATAAGAAAGCGTAGAGTGGATGATACCGCAAAATTATTGTATTCGCAAGTGCGCACATACTTCAATCTCGCACTACGCATGATACTTCGGGTACAAATTGTCAAGTGCAATCCAATATACTATAAAAAAGCGTAGATCGTTATCGACTGTCGCTACAGCCACTTACACTCCCTCTCCACGACCGCTCCACCTCACTAAATGACCCTCAGTCAGTGCCCAAAAATGATGAATGCCAAACTTGGCATGCATCCGGATGCTCGATTCCGAGTGGATGACGAACTTGGCATACAATCTCCGAAGGGGGAAAAGTGGAAGGTGGAGATAGCCACCCCCTACACTGAATGGTGCAGAAAATGCAAGTGGTACCATCACGCTGAGGAAAATTGTCCAAGAATTCGACAGAGTGAAAACTGAAGGAATGAAGAAGGTATAAGAGTTGACGGGCATAGGAAAAGGTGACGGCAGGCCAGTGAAAAGCACTCGACTGTCCCAGCATTCTGCCACATGGCCATCGCGACCGTCGGATCGACTCGATCGGACGACAGTCGCTTTGCGGGACCATTTAGGCGCGCCCCAGTATATAAGCAGTAGTGGGCCGCCTCCTCCGTCATTATTGCTTTCAGTCTTTTGTTGAGTCGCGAAAGACAGCAGACTCTCAGTGCACATTGCCGCTATCCCAGCCAGACACCGGACTACATTCCACCTCCTTCGTTCTCTTCTCATGCTATCACTCTCTTGTCTCGTCGCAGAATACAACTGGACGTTAGCGCATATCGGCGGGAGTGGAGKCATTCATCGCACGACATTCGACACGGAGCCGAGCCATCGAGGTGCAGTTCGAA